TGCACTACCACAGTTTCACAGTTTTTATATTTTATTAATGTATTTAATATAGAATATTTGTTAGTAATACATTCATAAGCATTCTACAGATGGGAAGCAAATCTCTTTTTTTTTATTTAAAAATTGCCAGGTTTGTTTGATCTCCATCTGTCTGTGATACATTTTTGTTTTTCCAAAGGTATACATTTTAATACAAAAAAAAACTAAATACATTGACAATAAACAAAGTAATGCTTTCTGATAATACTAGGTGAAAAAGCAAAATGAAGCATTACTGGAAGCACAGAATGCCAAGAAACAAGAAGCTGAACGCAAGAAAAAAGAGATGGAAGATAAAAGACAAGAAGAACTGAGAAAAAAACTTGAAGATGAAATGGCTGCTAAAAGAGCTGTAAGGACAAATAAATTTGTATTTTTATCTTTTATTGCAAAGATGACCTTGGTGATGCTTGTTCAAATAGGATTTTAGCAGCCCCAAATTGTCCATCATTGTAAAATGTATTGAGATTTTACTGTTTACTGCTTTTTAAAATTATATAGCAAATGTTTTGACAGTCTTTGTATCATATTTTTTCTTTTAGGCTGAAGCAGGGAACTTTAGATCTGACTCACCTCCAATTCCCACTATGAGGAAACAGGTACTGTATATAATTCTCACTTTGATACTAATCAAAAAATCCTCTACCTTTACGCTTCTGTCTTCCTTATAACATTTTCTATTTTCCTTCCTTCTTTATGACATCCCATCTTTTATTTCTATTATCATTTTTTGTTTTTTGTTTTTTGTTTTTGTAAAAAAAACTGATTCACCTTCATCTCACTTGATCATATTTTCATATCCATCCATTTATTATTCTTACAGACTAATGATTCAGATCAAAGAAGGAATTCCCCACCTGTACCTGCATTAACAAGCAAGAATAGTCAAGGTGACAGTGGTTTGATTGATTGTTTGATGATTGATAATTGAGTGTTTATTTATATATCAATATTTAATTTACTTTCTTGCTTGCTTTACTTATTGCTTGATTGCTTGCTTGATTGATTGACCGATTGATTGATTGAATAATTGATTGAATGATTGATTGATTGATTGAATAATTGATTGAATGATTGATAGAATGATTGATTGACTGACTGATTGATTGAAGGATTGATTGAATAGTTGATTGAAGGATTGATTGATTGATTGATTGATTGATTGATTGATTGATTGATTGATTGATTGATTGATATTTGTGTGTGGTTTTATTAGTGCATTCAGCTAAACCATCTTCACCTGCATTATCAACCGTACCAACAAGAATGCAATCAGGTGAGTTTTGAAATACTTTTAGTGAGAAAAAGGACTACAGTAAAAAATCACTAGATTTTATTTTACTCACTATTAATCAAAAACAAGCACATCTCTAGCGTCCTGCTCCCTTATTATCTGTTCTGGGATCTCTGTGAATAGTTATCTCCTGTGAAGTAAGGAAAGACACGATGGAGACATAAAAGAAACATTTGTAAAGGAAGCATAATGGAATGTTTTCATTTTGTCATTCCTTTTCTGTTTTTCATCAGTTTGTGCCTGACATGTGATAGCCATACGGACATGACTTAATACATGACTGGTTTTCGTTTTTCAGTGACATCAGTGAGAAGTCAAAATGACAGTGATGTTTTAAGTCAGTTAACTGCATTAAGACAACAGTTAAAGAATGAAGAACATAAAGTACAATCACAGATTGGACATACAGCTGCAGTGGTAAGTTTGTAATATTCCTTTTTTTTTCTTTTTCTCGTTCAATAATTTTATTTCCTGATTTGAAATGGTTTTACTTTCTCTTCAGAATAAGTATTCCCAGATGAGCAGAGTTGAAAACGAGAGCAGGAGGTATGCATCATTTTCATTTATGATTGAATTTAGTTGTAATTTAGTATTCTATTCTAGCATTGTATAGTTGTATTCTACATTTCATAATGTTGTTTCAACAGAGGTAAAAGAGATGTTAGTGTGTTTGACAGAGCACTTACAAACAAACCAGCAGTAACTGGAAGAAAAATTGACTCTGATGTAAGTCATAATAGATTGGTCATTGCAATTCTTGCTTTATAGTGGGCCAAAGGCTATCAGCTATAAGGTCGTAGTCCACTCACCCTCGAGGTCTAATTGTTGAATATTCTATATGACCACCTTCATTCTATTCCTGAAACCCTTGCTAAGATTGTCCTTTGTTTTACAGTATTCAGCTGCTGACGAGTTCAACCGTATAAAGCAGGAAGGTAATGCTTTATAGATCATTACACTGATATTGATAAGTGTCTGTTTGTTTTAACCTTTGTTGTACCTTGGGCTAGGAAGGCTCCGGGGTAAAAGTACCGAGGATGCTCGTCGTAAACTCGTCAAAAAGAACCGTAAAAGATCCCGGAAGTCTTGAAAAAGGGCGTGGCTGACTGATTTTTAACCCAAAGAGAATGCACAACAATTATTAAGKAAAAGTATAAAATATTTAATGMAAAAACAAAACGCAGAGGAAAGTCARTATCGATGCCCTATTTCTCTKTCGGAYACCCTAAAAGATTGCAGAATTTGCACWTTTCCAGAAACTCCTAATTGGCACCCTAAAAGATTCMCAATCACGAACTTTTACCCCTAAGAGATCCGAGGAGCATCCCCGGTAATTTTACCCCGGATCCCGCCCTCCCCTCCCCGGGATGTTGTTTAAGAAAGGGCAAAACAATTTTATCCCTATCTATTTTTCCTCTCATGTAAACTCTAGATAATTCAATCCACTGTTGAGTCGTGCACGGTGATTGTTATCAAATTTCTGTTGTCGTTTGTAATATAGAAACTTCTTCTCTGGCTGGAGAGTTCAGGAGTAGATTTCCACAACCAGCTACAACTGACAGTATGCTTGATTTACAGCAGCAAGAGTATTTAAGGTATAGTGTCAGAAGATGAACAAGTTTATTGATGATTCACTGAATGTATTTATAAAATACATATAAAAACCTATCTTACAGGGAGCAAGAAGATAAACTGTCATCTCTAAGAACTGGTAAATTGAATTTTTTTAACGACCCATGAAAATTGTTGGCAAAAATTACGAAAATTCGAAGAATCAATTGTCAYGATTATTTTATTGCAGGTAAACCTAGGCATCCTAATGACATACCTGTAAGTATGATCGTTGACCATATCAAGCAGGTTTCTTGCTGCTGTTCATGCAACTTATAAATAGAGTAGATACTTAATCCGGTGGATAGCTCAGTTTGTTTTATCGGTCCTGTATCCTAGGATTTGCGCGCTATTGTTGTTTAGCGTGCGKTCCGGTTTTTTTARCCATCTAATCGGACCGTGGTATCTTAAAACGGAAAAAGAGCAAAATGACATCGAAAAATATCAAGTAGGCCTTAGTCCAATCGAAAGACTGAGGGCAGTTTTCACTACACAAATCAAAATGAAGCTTGTTGAACGTAGTAGATTCACCCTTCTTCTATTACCCTCTCTGAATTACTCAATCTAAGACTGACAGGAATTCTGGGATATCTGCAACTAATACTCACCCTCGTCTTCGAACTTTGGAGTGTTTGTCAATTTAGCATTCAAGCATGTTTTCATCTCACAAGCACTGTAAATAATATTCTTTGATATTATTTCAGGGCCCTTCTCGTTCTAAAAGCAAAGATTCGTTACTGGAATCAGAGAGTCAGTTCATTGCAGTGGACGATCCTGCTATCCCTGCATCAAAGACAGACCTTCAGCCAAGGCAGCCATCGGCCAGAGAAAGACGAAGATGGAAACAACTAGAAGAAATGGCTAAAGAACCTAAGGTTGGTGTGTCAGTCATCATACATCAGTCAGTTAAACCAGGAATAGCCTGGATTTTACTGTMGATTWCCCGGGGATTTGACGCTTTTAAACTGGGGTGGAACGGGTTTAACAGCTTGTTTGCCATCACAACAAGGCAAGAAATATCCTTTACTTGAGAATTTAGCGTGATATGACATATTATTTGTGGTTGATGGGTGTGGCCTTTTATATCAATGTCTGTTATTTTACATACATAGAATATCTTGTAAACATAAACCATATAAAATAGTGTTAGCTAAGGCCACTGTACTTTATTATCAATAAAACAGTTTAGAAAGAATCAGCTTAGCTATATCTCGAGCACGAATTGGAATCTGTTGATCCATCGAACTGTCCATACCRACTGATTTTGTTTGTGTGTCACTAGCCTTATGATACTTACAAACCACCAACRCCAGGAGGTTTCTCTCTCAATTCTGTAACAAGTTTTAACGTCGATGAAGTCGCAACTAAGAATGAGGAGAGACTAAAACGACTGCAAGCGATTCAACGTGCTGGTGGTGGTGGCGGTGGGTCAAATCCTGATGATGTCTTGAAACAGTTTATGAGTGAAAGAGGGTATGTTTATTTTGGAGTTTTTATCATATTTATATTTGAAAATTAGAAAAAGACAAAAGTATGTTGTTGTTTTTTTATTTTTACAGTCGACCACTAACAAGAACGTCAGAGGCATCTCTAGAAGCAGAATCAAGCTATGAACCTGTATTAAATTATTAGATTTCAGTCATATTATATCAAGATGGAATTTAGAGTCGTTTTCATTAACCCATGAAACACACTTTAGCGTATTTATCGCTATTACACTTTGGCTCTTTTGATTTTTTTTTTTTTTTTTTTTTTTTTTGTCTCTACCCGACTATTACGATCTATTACACTCTGATTATTACACTTTGTTTCATGGGTTTATGAAAACCACTCTATAACGCAAAATTATTTATTGTAATACGCGCTTGCATTGATTAATTTCAGTGGCTGGTTGAGCTGAGGTAGTGTCTAATGTATTTTGTTTTTAATGTGGAGATTTCTATGGCGGCTGTTCCTCGGCTTTTGAAATCTCTATGTAAACTCGTCTCTTATTTTAATGTAAATAATGTATGGTAAAATCAACGTTAAACACAAATATATATGAATAGTAATAGATTTGATTCTCCGACATCAGAATATTAATATGGTATTTTTCGTTTGTCTTCGACAAACAGAGGTTTTAGAGTCATTGCATACAACCCGTGAAATAGTAAATATACTATTAGTTAGTAGAAGCAGTTTTAGCATTACTCACTAATAATTATTGTTTCACGTGTTACATGTAGTGATTAAAGAACACGTACTCATAATGGGAATTGTTTGGAAACCTTTTGTTGTACTTTTTTTCTACGTATTTAGATGTTGATTCAGTCAAGACCATGTACAACGTTTTTCTTACGGACGATGGAAATTACAAAATGAGTGAACATAAACACTCTCTATGGGATGATGAAATGAAATATTTCAATATTGGTTAAAATGTTTTGTGCATTTTGAAGAAATAGCCAAAATAAATAATTTTCGCTCTGTTCATTCAGATGTGACCAGTATGGCTAAAACAATAGAACAATAGTTAAACAAAAGATTGTGTACGGTTGGGAAAAAAAACTACAACAAAAGGCTTCCTGACCATTTCCTCTATAAACTACGATAAAATAGACTAAAGTTACGAAAGCTAACAATGTCAGTAAACGTAATGATAGATAACTGTAACAGAATAACAATTATGATGATGTTAATAATCTTTATATAGTTCACATCGCTCATCTCTCGTTTGAGAGCAATTTTAGGAAAGTCGAGTGCTTTTCACAGCTGTTCGTCCTGGTATAAAACTGTTTCTGTTTTTACATTTTATTTCTGCATTGAATAAAGCGCCTTTTTTTAAGTTTGAAAATGAACTTGTCATAAAGAGAGAAGAGAATTGGCACGTCTCTGATAGGGCTACTGCTGTGATCCTACTATTGTTGTATAAAATACTGTGTTATTTAAAGCCATTGAAGTCCTTCAGTCAATAGACCTCCTACCTATAGTAGTATTAACTCTTTCTTCTCTTATTAAAGCTGGAAGTCTTGGTTTCTCAAATTTATGTGAATGACGTTTGTGAAGTCTATGTTGCAAAAGATAGTCGAAAAGCTCGTCACCAGTGCACCTGTGGCAAGTTCGCAGGGTGATGGACTGATAACGAGCACGTAGAACATGTGCCGAAGCCTTTGGCTGTCGCTGTCTTGTTAGAACGCCTTTGTGATTTTGACCTCCAATTCTTTTGATAGCTTTGAAATGAACAGTTATGTACGAATGTCAGTTATTGAAGGTTTCAGACAAACTGAATGATTTGACTTTTTCAATTTCAAATCCCAAGAATTTAGCCAACTATTTGAGAATTCGAGCTAATGGTACTTACATTCTGGGGTTGCGAAGTCTGCAAATGACCAAATCATTTCTCCTATCAAATAATGATATCGCAGCCTATCGAAAACTGGGAAGTAGTGCTTCATAACGTCAACCTGTGTACAATAAAGAAAATGTTACAAATCTTTTTTATTATTATTGACTATTTGTACGAATAAGGTGTTCGCCGCGTAGGCTTGCCGGTAAGCATATAGGCCCCAGCAGCACATATGGCAGTACATATACAGTGTTATGGACATTTGAAAAAGGGATGTCAAAAATAAAACAAACATTATTACAAACTATGCAAAAACTGCAATAAAAAGGAAAAAATTGTTGGTAAACAGAGAGTACGCAATAAAATTTGGGTAGGAATGAAAGTACGCAAAGTATTGTGGTCTTGGTATTAAAATGACGCGATCGGACAAATCATACACTTTCGTCCAGGCCACAGTAATATGCTGTTGCGAACCAATCACAGCGGCGTTAAAGACCATTTCGTCAATCAGGGCTGCTCAAGGTAAAGAATAGGCGATATGCATTATGGCGTCATTTACTACAACTACCAGAATGCTGCCAACTTTCTTTTGTAATGCAATTAGTGCCAATTGTTTTATTAATCTCCAAGGGGATTAAAAATCTGAATAACAATGAAAATGCGCAAGGCTCTCTGGTTGTTGTAGTAAAGTTACGTCATAATGCAAACGGCCTATTCAAACCAACCTGGTATTCTTCTGTATACATTATGGAGGGTTCCTGTAAATCAAAGAAGTAACGGTTAAGTGATTGTCTATTTTGTGAATGTTTGAACTATTTCTTTGCTGTGTTGTTTTTTGTTTACGGTTTTCTCTTGTATGTCACTTATTTGGCATGAAGTCCAAAACTCAAGTGGAGTACGCAAAGTTACAAATTGAAGTTAACTTGATTTTCCCTCGCTCTGCCAAGTTTAGATGACGCCAAGAGTTTGTAAATATATGGGAGCTGTGCAGTATTGTTTTTTTTTTTATCATATTTAACTCTAATCAATTTGTTAATAGAGTTTGCTGTGATTATATAATATGTAGCAGCTAGCGACGGATGAGTGGAGAAAGTAAATTAGATTGCAAGATACAAATGTGAACGCGCGTAGTACATTACAAGTATTTTGATAAAATCCACTGCTTATAACTATCATTTCTTGATCTCTAAGAAATTCACTGTATATCTTTCAACGTCTCCACCTTCCTGATATTGTGTTTTGAAGCAACATCCGAGTTGCGTCCTGCCTGGTGCTGAGAAGTGAGTTTCAATAAAACCAACAACTAGCTGATAGAATAAAGGTCAACATCCATCGTTTTAATTCATTACCCTGTGTAAACCTGCGAGAGCCTCGGCACCATATTCTGTTATTAGCACGGGCTTCCCGTATCTGCAGAACCATTCTTCCATTTCCCATTCTAGGGTGTTGGATATTTTTGGCGTTTTACCTGGAAACGTGTACCAGCCATAGTAACGGTTGAACGATATTACATCACAGTACTTGGACTGTACGAGATAAGACGAGAAAATAAGGTTTCATTCATTATTGATGCTACGATCAGCATTTRATACAGGATCAGAGATGCGGATTTTATCTTCAAGTGTCGAAAAGATCTCTMACGAGAAGATAAAATTCGTATTCCAAGCGATCGTGTAATATTCTGTTTATCATATAATTACATATKAAAGCAAACTATGTCGTAAAATACCTCTTTTTTCTTACTATAGAGAAACCTTCGATTGTGTTATTTTCACAACTTTACGTGGAGAAATTATATGATAATGTAGATTATTTTCCTATAAATGGTTATTGTTGTTTCTATAATCACTGTCATGATTACTATAACCATTATTATACTGAAAACAACATTGTGGCTATCATCCAACCAGAAATTGGGTCTAGTTCTTAACAGTAAATAGAATAGTAGTACTGACAAGCATACCGCCATCTCCTGTTTCTCTGCATCGTACGGGGTCTGGTTGGTGACAAACGTTACAGGTCTTTGTTGAATGTCTTCTTCTTTGGTAAAACTTATTATCTTTCTTTGTTATTAAATTGAAAAGTAAAAATTGTTGACTTCATCAATAATTGTAATATTTTTTTAGAATTATAGTATGCTCTATATTGGTTTTCAAAATATTAAAACAGGGTATGATAACCAAAAGAAAAACAGCATAACACAACTGTCGACGAGTCTTCCTGCACTACCCTGAACCAAAAAGCGTACCATTACTATTCACTAACGACTATCAATTTTAACAAAAACTTCATTATTATGACCACATTTGAAAAAGATTTCTTCAATAGCCCCACCCCCTGAACTCCTACAATGGTCACCATCACAACCTGCCATGATGGAGGGGATTCTAATCTCATATGGTCTGTATGAATAATAATGAGATGAATAATACCTCAAGTAATCAGCCACGTGTTCGTAGTGAGATATCGGTTCATTAGCCACTGACCACATGACCACCGAAGGATGATTTTTATCCCTTTGMATCAATTCTTCCATTATCCTTAAGTGGAGTTCAAATGTATGGTTGTTAAAGTACTCTCTGAAATAAAACAAGAAAACTGTATATCACTGTACTAGTTATAGTCCGGGTTTAACAGTATGCCGTGGAAGTATGGGGTTAGTTGTGGACGCCGTTACAGCCCCCTCATATAGATCTAATATTTCATTCCCAATTTCTTTTTGTATGATACACGTGCAGCCATATAAGTATTTCCAAGAGGCTAGACCTAATATAAACTCATCYATTTGCAGCGTTTGATTTCAGACAATTCCCARATGGTGTAGTTTTGAAACCTAATGAAAAGATCGACATTTTTTACGCCCTTGCTCCACCCTTGACCCCCTTACTACATGTAACTTACAGTTTAGATAACCCAACAGCAGGACACTCATCGATGACAACAAAACCGAGTTCGTCCGCTAAGTTCATCGTCTCTTCTGAATATGGATAGTGACTTGTGCGAAATGAGTTCGCACCAAACCATTTCAATAGGTTGAAATCCTTTACTAGCGTTGGAAGATCAAACCCTCGACCACGAAACTGAAAGTACAAAGACGCGCAATAGGTTTTATAACCTATTAACAATCTTAAAAGATTGTTGGCTGAGGTAGAAGAGAGTGACTGCATAGTTAGAAATGGATAGTACGAAGTGATCTGTAATCTTTGAGGCTGCTGAGAAAACTCTTTTGAAATAAGCGAAATGGAGCCGCCATAATTTAACACGATGAAGGTTGCAGGGGCGGATCCAAGAGGGGTGACAGGGAGGCGCGCGCCCCGTTTTACGAAAGTCCTGCTGAAATAAATATATCCACCAAATATCCACCTTGTTGACGAAATTATTACTTTCGGACGTAAAGAAATGATATTAATAATTATGTCAATGGCGAGTGTTCTTTTTTCTAGAGTTTCTTTTTAAACATGGAAGATTGACTTACAGCAAAGGTTATCATACTTACATCAGCATCTTCGTGTTTGCCTAATCCTTTGAAATAAAAAGGCGCATCGTTGATCAAAAACCGTGTCTTCAGTAGTCGAATTGATCGTATTCCTACAGGAAGTCGGTAAACATCTTGAGTCGTATTAGTWATGGTCGTTATCTGAYGTGAGAAAACATGAAATATTGGCTCTGAGTATCGCTRATGAAGGATCGCTRAAGAAAGAATGCCTACACATTGTCAACAAATGGAGATTGTTACATCACTACAGAAACAAGGTCCGAGAAATGCTGTGGACGAAAAGTGTTGTAACTTTGAGAAAGAAGCAGTTCTAACCTGAAGGGTGTAAAGATATGCGGGTTTATACCCCATTCCTATTGGCCACCACAATGACGGGTTAGTTACCCGTAGCTGTCCTTCAAGCAGTCCTGTTCCACCAACAGTCGTTACCAGTCTTCTATTATGATCTAGCAGTTCATAAAGCATGGTAATGCCGCGATCATACACTTGGTGGCCAGCAGTATTAGACACGGAAGCAAAGAACTTTACAATGCCTGCGTCGTACAAATAGTCGGTTGCTATACTAATGTCAGATAGGAAGACTGGTGGGGTGGTGTAGAGGATCACAGAACGGTGAATTCCGGCGTAGTTGAAAAAGTCAAAACTGTATTTTTGACTGGCGATGTAGTCTCTGAGAAAATCAAAACAAAGTAGGAATGAATTTGGAGCATTTGTCAGTGATATCTGGTGCATATTATACATAAAATGTCTTGTTTCAAGTTTGAAACGGAAAATATGTAGTTTATACGATATTCCGCATATAATACTGATGATAAATTACTAAATTGATGAGGTCCTGTGGAGATTTGAAAGTTTGCAGTGTTGGTGGGACAATCTACCTACTTACTGGTCTTCCTGGTATTCCCCTGGTGGAATGGTGTTTCTCGTTAAGGTGTTATTGACTGCTACAGTGAGTCGATTGGATCGACTATAGTCAAGATAGTGTGTTACTTCAACTTCAAACGGTAAATGCCCTCCTTCATGACTTGTAATTTCATTTCCATTCAGCCACTGTGAGAAAAGCGACCAAAATGTACTTTATATTATTTTGTGAAGTCAACACCACTGAACAGTCATAGTCGAAATTAGTTTGGTTAAAATACAAGGTAACCTAACTATTAGGATTGAATGTCCCACCCCACGCCCCACATTATAAGCACAAATAGGCGTGTATTGATGTCAACTTGAATTCCTCTTTATTTAAACTATGAAAAGGACATTACATTTAAGGACTTCTGTTGTATGATATTCATGGATGGAACAGTAGATATGAGACCTTCCCGATTGTGCGTACCTACCACTTTACAGTAATAGTTGACACTCCCGAATCTTAACACGATGCGCAAGCTGTCAACTTGAGCAGACCATGCCATTGGTATGTAGAACTGTCGCTCGTACCAAACCCAGCCCACGAAATTCTTTAGCCATCTCATTTCAGTGATATCATTAAAGCTGGACGGGACTGGCATTGGAATGACATCACCAGTCTGATGAGATTATCATTGACATCATCATCATCATCATCATCTAGTTATTAATATCATTATCATCCCAATGTCATCACAATTATCAGCCAGACGCCTCGCGTACAGACCTCATAACTATGTCTTACGCGACCCGGTCATAATGCACTTGTAAGTCTCTTTGAGAGCTAGGGATTTATTACATGTATTAAAGCTAATTAAGAGGATTATCTTGATTGACCTTACAAAAAGAACTTATGAAATATTTATGCTACAGGTGTCGCTTCCACTTGAAAAAGCTGTAGCGGGTTCAGATTAATTGAATTCTTTTCTTAATGAATGACATAATAATGCCTGGATAAACTGGCTTGTAAAGTAAGTCATTGTGAAATACTTCTCACTGAGCCGTTGTCGCATGCAATTTGTTCTTCTGCAAGAAAAACTGCAAATAAACTCCACTTAAAAGTCGCATCCTTAGTTAACTATTGTAGTATAGCAGATAGCACTCTTGAAGGTAAAAACGTTTTCTGAATTACTACTAATAATAAATATATACCTGATGTAAGGCCTGATCAAACCACCTCAGTTCGAATCCATCTGATCGATGCAAAGAAGTGTCAGCTCGAAAGCTCCAGATTCCGTCCAGCGACTTGATTTGTCGGGATTCTGAGTCACGTGGGTATAGMATTCCTTTACCGAGTAATCCCTGGATGAGCCGGGCATTTACAAGCAAGAAGGTAAACGATGAAAATAAAAAATCTATGATTGTAAATCTTGATATTATCATGGTGATTTAGTGTTTTTTTTGATGTCAGGTCTCTTCATTGTTTCTTCTGGTATCACCTGTAAAACCAGTACACAGGGAGCCCACAAAAAACTTCATTAATTCAGTTGCATGTCACCTTTTATATTATGGGACGAGTATTATAGCGATCAAACATTCACAATAGGAACATTCCGTGTTGAATGCTATTTGACTAATAGTGTTCTAGATTTATTCTGATAAGGTTCCCAAAATGTGATTGTTTGAAGGGTTCATTAAAAATGGAAGGAGGCTTTTGACCCCATCAATTGAAGGAGATGACATTGTTTCTTCTAAGACATGGTACTAAAACTAACGTGCAACATTGTTAGACTCAATACGAAATTACACCTTCGATTGGCACTGACATTTTTTAAAGGCCACAGAACTGGCAGATTTAATTCTTAAGGTTGACAGTGTCTAACTTCAAGTAGTGTGTTTGCGTTTTTCATTGCTGTAGGTCCATGTCTTGAAGTGAGTTTACTGCAAAGCAAACAATCCGATGGAGGTTGAAATTACCTCGAATTCTTGAAACAAAAGAACGTTTGATTGCACTAGTCTGTAGGGTCAGACCCTCTTAGCCWCGAAACAAGTCAACTGAAAACGTAATGATAATAATTGTACAATTTTAGTAAGAAACAGAAGAAGAGTAGAATCCAAATTAACTAAATTGCAGAAAGTAGATAGACACGTGCGGAACTTTATCTGTTTGACTGAATCGAGACTGAAGAAGATGACCAGTCATGATTTTTTTACGCTACAAGCATAATGTGCTATCCTTCTAACATAGCTGATCCKACAATCCTTTTGAACAAAAATGTCCAACATTAATGATAATGAAAGTGGGCATATTAATGAAGTCTGCCCCTCATATCCATCAAACTGCAGTAACACACCCACAATCAATTTAGAGCTTAGCTGATGGGAACTTAGGTGTTAGCCGAGATTATTCTATAAGRCAATTTCGAAATAAATTTGTGCTAAGTTAACTAAAATTCATTGTCCGTTTCTTGATGTCAGCATGTAGCAAAGTGAGAGTGTATATTTAGCGATGAACGTATAACAGGTTAATCTAAAAAAAAATATGCAGTTTCTGCAGTTTTTATATATTTTTAGAGAGACAATAAATCTTACAATTGCGCATGCACCGACTGTAAATATCACCCATCTTTGCTCATTACTATCCATGCCACTATCTACTTTGACTTCGGAACATGTGAGATTCAGCGCATGAATCGCATCGACAGTCAGACCGATTTAAATTTTGTGCCCCACCCCTTTTAATTGATTTTATTTTAACTATGTAACATGTATAATCCACTAATAAACGTGCTTTGAGGGTCTATCGTATTCAATAACTCTATTTTAGTTGTGACTGCTTTCTTTGTTGGTAATCATCATGAATCATGTTGAGTCGATTCGTTGAGTCTTGAACGACTAATTAAAACTGAAGCAGATATTGCGCTTTATAAAACAATTGATTTTTTCCAAGTAGCCAGGTGTAATGATAGTAGCCTAACAGTAGTAATGCTACTGGAGAGATGAATTTCTTTCTGCGAAAAAAAAATCACAATAAAAACAGGCAAACTCAAAAATTCATGATGATAATAAGATTGAATAATTCGTATTTGATCAGTCATATTATTTACGATTTATTGCTGTAACGGGAAATTCTCCATAATGGCGATGTTCACAGTGTAACAATGATGATCGTTAAATCATCACTATATGCTAAAATAGACATGTTAGTGCTTGATTTGAGTGGGATGACGTGAATCTACAAGAGAATAACAATCAACTCCACATATCATAAACTTACTATTTTTACAACGTAGTGATTAAACCATGYCTGAGAAAGGTATTCCAGCAATAAGCACAGTGGTATCTCATAAAACGCGCAGTCGGCAAATATTAAACGACGAATAGTAAATTCATTTTCGCTTTATTTGCATGGGCTTTATAAATAATATTAAAATTGAATCATTGAAATTTTTCTTAAGCATAGGTAGTCACGCACCACTTAGACATTAGTCACAGTCAAATGGCTGAGGAAAGCCAAAGAAAAATTATTAGTTAACTCGCACGACAAAAAATAATTAAATGAATAAATTATATTAATAAAAGTATGACGTTGATTTTAAATAGAATTTTACTAAAAAAATTGCCAGCTCTTGTATTATAGACAAACAAAAGAAACAGCAGATGAATTGAGAGATTTCAACAAAACACGACAATTTTAGCAAGATAATCCTTTGAAGTTGTTTTGAAAGCCAATGATATCACAGCTTGTATAGCTTACAATAATTTAAAAGGAAATAGCGAAGCCCTAGACAATTTCACTAATTTTTCCTTTCTTCCCTGGCAACTCTAATAATAAGACGTAGCCATCTTGAATTCAATATGAGATGATGGTCACGTGAGTAAATTATCTCTCGACCAATCAGGTTTAGGCAATATGCAATCAAGGGTTTGCAAATGGGAATGTCGAGAGGATCAAGCAGCGAAAATGGCGGACCTGGAAGCAGTTTTAGCCGATGTTTCCTACCTTATGGCGATGGAAAAATCGAAATCCACGCCAGCAGCAAGAGCCAGCAAGAAAATAGTTCTCCCTGACCCATCGTATGTAGAAATTTTCGTGTTAGCGACCCGGAAAAGCGCTATGTTTACTCGCGAGTCGGGTTAGATGTCTTTGGCTTACCTTTCTTGTGTCTTTCTTGGTTTTCATTTAGAGTTTACCATGTAATGCATAAATATCTCAGCGAAAGGAACGAAGTAACTTTTGACAAAATTTTCGACCAGAGATTAGGTGGGTATATTATTGTGAGTTATTGTTTCTGGAACACAAAGCGACCTTCATTTGCTGTTGTAACTATCAGGTTTTTACACAACATCACCCTGACTTGGCGTTTATATTTCAAAGCAAAGGTTATACATAGCATATGATTTGAGCATTAACATGAGTCTTTTGACGATGTTTTATAGGTTATCTACAGTTTAAGGAATTTTGCCAAACGCAGTGCGACGAACCAGTGCCTCAATTGTATTTCTACGAAGATGTGAGTACATTTCTATTTTTCAGCACAGTACAACACTTCGCGTTTTATGACTGTACAGCCGCAATTCTGTATAATTTCTAACCTAAATGTAAATGTCTATATTGGGTTGGGCAGTTCAAAATAGCGTCTACTCCAGTATTCATTCGGTATAAAACAGCATGGTCTCGAAGTGTTGGCATTACTATAATTATATTTTGTGTCTCTGAAAGGCTCGATTTTCACGTTTCGAGCGAGATCGATGTTATCCACTATAATACACAACAAAACAACAATCCAAAGAGCTGACTTTAAGACGCCTAAATGTATTTCTCGGGGGTCTAAAAGTGAACTTTTTGTTCCTTTAGTGTAATTTCCGTTGATAGTTTCTTCTGGTTCATTGTAATTACACTTATTTTTTTAGTGACTAATTTTACTTCGGATCACGATCGTCCAACTTTAGGGCCAACAATATTGTATGCCGCTAACTCGGAAAACGGAAAACTGAGCAAACGATGAATTATATATGCAGTATGGGGAACAGTCGAGCATACCTTGTATAACTGGAAGATTTAGCTTTAGTGTTTATACTATAAGATGAGTTCTGTATCTGCCTGCACAGTGAGAAAGCCATTCGAATGTACAGTAATGACAGATCGGGCGTACTTGGAACTTTACYGATCGATCGAMACACAAATCTAGATTTATATTTTCACCTTATTGTGGTTAGTGTTACTACTAGATGGCAGGGAAAAACACAGCTCGTACAAATCAACCATGCGGATATAGTCAGTACAGATGTGGAAATCTCACAGTTTGGTCGGCCAAGCAGAAAATCGAAAGGCCGCAGCAGTATTTTAATATTTTAACTTCTTGTGATCACTTGGAACATCTAAGCAAATGATTTCTCGTTAAAAGTCTAAGTCAATACTCAACTTTCATTTCAGTAAATTTTATCAATCTTTCACTGCAAAAACTCATCGGCTCTTAGAATAGAATTACATGAAAAATACCAGTCAGAGCAATGTGCACTGTGAGTATTTCTTCTTGGAAATGTTGCCTATCGAAAATTAAAGACCTCCTAGATCTTTAGACTTGCTTTAATATTTATGTATTAAAACTTATGGGTACAAATATCTTAAAGTTATTTATTATAACCAAGATTTCTTTTCGAAGACCACAAGAATTCCTCAAGGAAAATACAATAAATATACGATAAAACATAACCATTGTGAAATAAATATAGACTAGAGCAGTATTGGGAAACAGAAGTGCATTTAGATTTTAATAATTCATTGTTTATTAAGAGTTTTGTTTTTATGCATATCAAACGTCTAAACTGGAAGTTTTTTTACGAATAAGTAATATTTTATGAGAATCGTGTAAGCCATATATTTTTAAAGGGTGGAACAAGGATTTAAACTATTGATTGAGAAAAAAGTGATCTAAGTTTCTTCGGTAAAATGTCTTAGAAAAAAATTAAAGAAAGAAAGTAATACTGCTGCCTTCATTGTGTGCAGGTGTTTGCATGATATTGGATCCTGTTGAAATAACATTATATTGAAATGTTTTAACAATGAATACAGAAAAAGCCTCTAGAATTATCATATGGTAATTCTGCAAAACATTGGGAATGTCTTGTCAGTCAGTCTGTTACTCTGAATATAGTTTCAATTTCACACTTTTATCATTTATTTAAAGTTAGTGATTTCATAATAAGCACTGTAGCACACCTATAGTTGTTTTTAGTTTAGCTTGATAAGTTGTGTGACTGGTCTATTGTGTAAATGCATTGAAAGTTTGAGAGGAAGTATGAGATGTAACTACTAATAAAAACCATTGGTAAGTACATAAGTTGATTCCAAGTAGCTGTGGCCATTTACTCTTTTACTGTGTGAAGATGAGCCACTGGTGAGATGTGTTTAATATGTGTTTATTAAAAATTACAGGTAGCTTAGAACCGCATTCAGTTATCTACTTTGCATTCTTAATTAGATATTATTAGCATCATTGCTTCRAAGTCTTGTGCAAATAGAATTGCTACACTTGGTGGTTTTCTCATTTTTGTATGACTTGTACTTATTTTTCTAGTGAAGAAAAAAGGTGAGAAAATATCTGTTAAAATTTTAAATGAATATTAATCTATCAGTAGGCAATATCAAAACCAATTTGATTGAAGTTGTTCGTTTATTTGCAAAATGAAAGTTCTTTTAGATTAGTTAAATAAAAGTGTCTGATTTGCTAAGATACCAATTTTCTTATCTTGACATGACAGCAGGCAACAATTTCTTTTTTACTTAACATCACATTGACCAAGACCTTGACTTCAATCAAAATATATATTGTGTAGAGATTGAAAAGAAAAGTCTTGTGCTTAATTAGTTATTATTATTTGATAAACAATACAGAATCAATTAGATTCCAGTACTGAGTGATATGAAAAATTATAAAGACTTTGGAGGCTGTTATCTGCTGCAGTATAACGCCTATATACACCTCAGCCAGCACAATTCTTTTCATATCATATTCAGTATCAACCAAGAATTTTAACTTTTTTCACAAGTTTATTTGATGTCATTAAGTCCAATAACCAACTAAAAAATGTTGATGCAATATTATGAAAAAAGTAGTTATGAAAAGATATTCTCTGGATATATGATACCATGGTATCACTTATTGACAAAACCAAAACTAATGTTAGTTGAATGTCAACATCATATGTGTTACTTTTTATCTTTGCAAAGAATCTAGAGCACATGTACATATGGTATTTTAGATGTGTTGAATGTATAGACAGAAAGTTAAAGTTAATATTACTGTTATCCATGAATTCATGCATTGTGGTTAAATACTATGCACTGGAATATCATTTAGATAGTAAACTGTGATGTATTATGATAATCAAGAGTTGCAAGAGCATTCAATTTTCAAATTGATTCAAAGAGAGAGACAGAAGACAGTATTAGAAGAAATGAACATGTACACTAACTAATACTCTGGTTATTTGTATGGATCATATTGATTTTATTTATTATGCTATAGAATATTGAATATTGTACAATTGCATCACAAACTGGTAAGCAAGAGAATAATGTTTTCATATAAACGAATCCTTTGATATCTTTAACATGTGAAAGGTATTGAACCTTACACACTGATGGAATTTCATCAATTTGTTCACTTGAATAACTTTGAAAAATAAAAGTTCAAATTGGCTAGTAATCGAAAGATATAAATGTGAGTTTGCTTGAAAGGTTTACTTTGGGGTTTTAATTAGTTTCTGTTTTTAAATCATATTAGATTACTGAAAGTGTTTCATGTTCATATGTTAATTGGTTTTTGGTGTATGCTCCAGACTATTAGTCACTTTTGTCATATTCTATAATAAAGCTTGACAAACAGAAAGGAAATAAGAATATAAAAGTCTTGCCTAAATATGAAAAGAGAAACCAAAGGTGATCTTAGACCCTGCTTTCAAATTTGATTTTTCTTTTTGTATAAGGAAATAAAATATTAAGTGATGTTAGTTAAGTTATACTTAGTTAACTCTTTTATGATTAAAAGTCATTTAAAGACCAAACATGCAATGAAACTAAAGGTAATTATAAACATTCAGTAGTCAGTGTGGTCGAGGGGGATGTTGATCAGAAATCGCAAAGACTTTTTACATTTTASCCTTTTTAATGTTTCCTTGATATTGACAAATCATTAACTTATTTTTATGAATCACTGATTCCAAATAATTAGGCTACCTGGAATTGTGATTGGCAATTTGCAGTATAACAAAGCATTATGGGAGTTACAGCCCTTGCACTAAAACGGTCTGCTCCTGTTTTTGCTTTTTCTGTGCATAAATAAAATTAGTTGTCATGTAAAACAGGAAATGTAAAGTAAAAGTATAGGTTAATGTAATATAGTATATGTAGTATGTTCCAGTAGCTAAGTATAGTGTTGGTATGGAATAATGCATTTTATCATATAATTATCTATGAAATACCTATATTTCTCCATTACGTAAAATTGATATTTTCACAGAATATTACATGG